ACTTTTAAGTCTTCTAAGAAAATGCAGTGATGTCATAAGACATTAACTCCCATTTTTCCCTCAACCTCAATTTATATATTATTACTTTAGATTTTTAATTCTTCATATAATTAAACCACAAAATGTTATTTTTATTCATAAGACCAATATTCCTTTGGTTTTATCAATTTATTTACCATTTTGTTTTTCATTCCTTCCTGTATCTCTTCTCCCTGTCTGAAGAATGCTGTTACTATTTCCTTTTCTGCAAGTCTGCTGGTGAGAAATTCTATCAATTCTGAACTGAAGTTATTGAAATATTTGACTGAAATATTTTCATCTTACTTTCACTCTTGGAAAGTATTTTTGCTCATTAGCACTTATATTCTTTCAGCACTTTGAGAATATCATTCCATTATCTCTAATTATCATTCCATCCCATATATTCCATGTCAATTATTTCTATTGATATCACCTTTTGGTCTAATTGATGCTCCTTTAAAGGCAACTTGTCTTTTTTCTCTGCTTTGAGAATTTTCCCATTGTCTTTATTTTCAAAAGTCTAATGAGACTAAGTGGGTTTTCTTTGTATTTTTCCTGCATGGGATTTATAGGACTTCTTGAATATGTGGTTTGGTATCTTTAACCATTTTAGAAATTTTTCAGCCATTATCACTACAAATACTTTCTGACCCATTCTTTCACTCTTCCATTTTGAGACTCCAATTATGGATATGTAAGACCTTCTTACTACATTCTTTTCATCTTACGTTGCCTTCTTATTTATTTTTACTTTCCATCCTTATCTCCATGTTTCATTCTGCATATTCTGTTATAACCTATGTTTAACTTCCTAATTTTCCCCAATGTTAGGCCTAATTTACTGTTAAAACCATCCACCAGCACTCATGATTTTAAGTATCTTGTTTTTCAATTTTAGAATTCCCATTTTATTCTTTTTTATAATTTCTAGCTCTGATGAATTTCCTAGCCTTAACTGTAATTTCCTTGAATATACTCAGAGTTCTTTTAAATTCTGTCTGATAACTCCATTATCTAGAGAGCCCATGAATCTGACTCAGTTGCCTGATTTTGTCTCTGTGGTTTCTGAATCTTTGAATCTTTGTGTACTTGTTTATTTTTTAATCCATATCAAACAATGTACATTAAAATGTAAACAGACAGTTTGAGATTATTTATATTTGCTTTTAACAGGTTCCAGGGAGACTAGCAAAAGTGGATCACATTAACCAAATTTAAGACCTGAAATAATTTAAAGCTAGACTTCAATCCTTAAAAGGTAAGTCTAAATCCAAGTTTATCCTTTCTTCTAGTGCCAACATAAAACGTATTGATGTACCATGACCCCTCTTTGGTAGGCCCTGGATTCCAGAACATGATTCCTAGGTCTGACAGTTACTCCAAATGTCAACATCTCAGACACTTCTAGAATTGGCAGGCACCCCTAGTAAAATAGTGAGCTCTTCTCTCTGGGTTTCACCCGTCTATAAAGTTTTGGTCCCATAATTCTTCACAGCCAAATTGCCTCATGTATGTCTCTTTTTTTGTTTTTTGTTTTTGTGTGTGTGTGTGTGTATGTGTGTGTTTTTAAACATTTTGTCCATCTTTTTGGAGAGTTCTTAGGTGGACTACTGACCTAAATTACCTCATTCACCACAATTAAAATATATATGTATGCTCTGCAAAAAAGTATTGGGCTCAAATAGCTCACTAATCAAAGAATTCATGCAATCTTCTAATTGCTAAGTAATGTTGGAAAATGTACTCAACTTGGAAAACAGAATGGAGACGCCCCCCAGGAAGCAAGTAAATTTTCCTATTTAAAGTATATATACTACTTATATGAAAATGAATCAATTTTCTTAAGCTGATCATTTATTTAAAAATAAACATTTAATTAAGATGTCTAATATAAAATGTCTAAAATATATTTAGTATGCTACTAAAGCTCAATAAGCCATACTGTAATATGAACTTATAGTAGTAATAAGGGAAACCCTGATATTGTAAATACATATAAGGAAGTATTATAGGTAAAATGATAACAAGTTTGCATTGAGACAGTGGTGCTCTAAGAAAAACAATGTTAAGTTTGGAATGGGGACCAAAGGAGAGGAATGAGTTGTAAATGGGGAAGTGTAAGACGAGCTGGTACAGGAAGAAACAAGCAAGGGAAGGTATTTCTAGCACAGGGGCAAAAGAGCCAAAAAGAGCCACAAGCGATGTGAGAGTCACTAAAGAATTAGGACTTGGGAAACTATAAGTAGTTCATCGTAGTTGTAACATAAGGGGTTATAAGCGTGCACATGAACATGGGTGTGTGAGTGCAGCAGGGCCATCGTGGTGACAATGAAAATGATTAGCTCTAAGAAAGGAAAATAATCTGGGTCTATAAAGTGGATGTTCCAGTATAACAAAATAAACTAGACATGAAAAATCGTATTTCATAGTTGACAGTGAATAATTGGAAGTGCATTCATTAAAACCAGAGAAAAAAGTGTGTACGCTATCACGAAAAGCATTACATATTATTTAAAAACAAAAAAATAATACACCATCCTACCTGAAAGGAAGAAACAAAGTTACTATTATCTGCAGATGCTATGCCTGCAAAAGCTAAGAACATTTTAGAAAAAACACACAAACAAACAGCAGTAACTGGAGTTTTGCTTTACTATATGTTTGCTTTTACCTGAAATTTTTTCCTTTCTTAATTTTCTTATTTCTAGTTAAGGCCTTTACTCTCCCTTAGAAGTTAAAAGCTTTATAAACCTTCTTTAATTAAAACCATGTGGTCAGTGTTAGAATGATGGAGAAGTCAAAGGGAAAAAAAAAGAAAAAAACCCCTAAAAATACAAATATTTACGTATATGTGCCATCCATAATCAGGGAGGACAGAATGGATTATTCAATGAAAAGAAATGAAGAACGGAGCTGATAGAATGGTCTCATCCTTTGGAAAAAGTAGATTCCAAACTTCTATCATCCAATAAAACAAATAGATGATTTTTTTTTAGTGAGAGTAGAGATATGTATTACATTTACAAAAAGAACGGATTTTAGACTAGCAGACAGAGCATAGAAAATACACAGCTTTTCCAGTTCTCACTACATTTTTCTAAGTCTTCATTAACATTAAAGTCATATAAATTCTCCAAGCACCAGATTCTAGATGAATGTAGAAAAACACACCCCATGGTAAATATAAAGATGCTGTTTTTTCATTTTTACTAAAACTGCTTTCTCCTAGTCATAAATGCAAATAAAAACTGATTGTTCAGGGGCGCCTGGGTGGCTCAGTCGTTAAACGTCTGCCTTCGGCTCAGGTCAGAATACCAGGGTCCTGGGATCAAGCCCCACATCGGGCTCCCTGCCCCATGGGAAGCCTGCTTCTCCCTCTCCCACTCCCCCTGCTTGTGTTCCCCCTCTCGCTGTCTCTGTCAAATAAATGAATAAAATCTTAAAAAAAAAAAAAAACTGTTCAGAAAAGTGGTGTGATATATAAGTGCAGGAACTATTTTAAAGTCTTAAGATATGGCAAAAATCCAGCTTTGCAAACATAAATGGCAAAATTAATCATGCTTCAATGTAAATCCACTAAGAATAATATTTTCAAAGACTATACAGTGACATGGGAAAAGTTCCATTCATTCAGCCAGTCAACAAATACGATGCTGGATCCTGGACTATGCTGTAAAGACAGAATAGAATATCGAGCAAGGAAGCTACGATCCTTGCTAGTCAAGAATCTCATGGTCTAGCAAGAAAGGCAAACAAAGACTACAGTGCTGATATACTTGATATAAAAGGTGCAGGGAGATATGCAGTCTATAGCAGGGGCACCTACCTCATCTACAAGAGTCAGAGAAGGTTTTGTAGGAAATGTGGTATTGGAAGCTCAGATCTGACAGAAGAATAGGAATTAGCCCAGTCATGGTTATGGGTGGAACTATAAGCAAACTGAGGACTTAGCAGATAGAAATGCCCAGGGAAGACAGGAGTGGACAGGGAGAAAAAGACATACAGAATTGTATACATGCTCAAGACCTAAATACATCTGCAGAGAATAAGACTGGGAGTGTATAAAAGAAAATAAGATCTGCCCTTAACTCTGGTTATAAAATTATAACTAATTTCTAGTTCTTTTCTATTTTTCTTTCCTTTCTAAAGTAATCACACATTGCCATTTACTGTTTACTGATTGAAAAGCATTATTAAAATAATACTTTACTACTTACTAGATCTTATGGGAGGTTATTTTTGTTTTAAATCTTAGACAAGTCTCCTAAGACCTGCTTTATTCATTTGGAACATAAGGCTAGTAACATTTAACTTCACAAAGTTGCTGATTTGGATCAACCATGATTAACATCTGTGCAAGAAAATGGTTTTGTGGTTGTGGTTGTTGGACTTGACTCAGTTACCACCAGATCAGAGGGTATTAAAACAGAACCGGGGGGTTGGGGCAGGGGTTGCAGGAATGCATAGATCAGGAGGGTGACAATATGGCCAAATGAAGTTGCCACTCCCCTCTTTAGCAATGAGGACAGTCGATGGAATCAATCCTGGTACTGTTTTTCTCATGGAGCTTAGCCCCAATCTCAGAATCCTTCCCAAGCCTAATACTTCAGGCAGTCCTTTGCATAATGGCAATGCTACTTGAAACCTTTTGCTATTACTAACCTTAAGATTCCAAATATAAACACAATCAATTCAACCATTTTAAAGGTAGTTTACGTTATAAAAATGTCCCAATTTATATTTCAATTTTTAAATGTCCTGGTTTTTGTTAAGAAGACTATCTTATAGCAGTTTTAGAGGTTTTGATTTAATATGTTCCAAGCCTCTGTTATTCACCTATTATACCAGAAACAATTATTAAGGGACTACAGGATTTTACAAATATGTTCACATATATTTACAAATGGTGAAGTCAGATACACATATATCTTTATACCGAATGTTGCTTTTTCATGAAATAGGAAAAACAAATTTCTTACCTTTCCTCTGGAGTATCTACATGAAATGTTCTCTCTATAACAGTGGTCCACTGGAGACATCTGATAATAAATGTGTTTGGCTTTGGTCGTTCTGTTTTCATTAACTGGCATTCTAGAAATAACATAAAATGTCTCTTTGAATATACTTATATTTAAACCACAAACTAAATAGTCAAGAACGACAGAGTTCTGTTCTAGGCGAAACTACTGTAACCTCACAGCTTTCCACGGACCTCCACCCAGGGTTTTCACAACCTGACCTCAGTCTTCTTTTCCAATCCAACACCCATTCTGACCACATGCTCTATTAACCAACCAAACTGGATGACTTAAGTTTCCCCAAATACATCTTGCTCTGCCCTAGCTTTTGCCCCAGCTGCTGGGGTGCCTTTGCCCTAGCTGCTCTTACTGTCTGCAATGCTGCCCGCTGATTTCACCCCTACCGGCATGCAAGCACCTACACTCAAACCACACCTATCCTTCAAGGCCCAGATCCAATCCTACTCTTTCCATGAAGCCTTTCCGATCAGCCTGGTCCTAAACCAAACGTTCCCCTCTCCATATTCACATTACTTATTACTGTATCCATTTGCACTATCTTATATTATTATGTATCATTTAAGAAGGTATCCTTATTCCTTACCTAGATTATATAGAGTATAGGCCTTTTGGCCGTATATACCACCTAAACTCTTAGTGATCACAGCCCGTGGAGCCAGTTGGTCAAAAGGGATGAATTATGTCAGGGAATATCTCAGAAGACTTCAAAGAAAAGTAGCATTTTGTAGTGGCTGAGAGTGTGGATTCTAACACCAGTATTCCTGGATTCAACTTCTTTTCCTACCATGTAACCTTGGACAAGTTAATTAATCTCTCCAGTCTTCAAGTATTAAAGGGGAAACAAGCACGTACATCATAAAATTGGTGCAGGAATTAATAATAAATCAGTACAAGACTCAGCATAGCATATGACACATAATGAGTTTTCAATAGATGTTAGCTATTACCATCAGGTGTATACCTGAGCTGGTCTTTAAGGATACATGGTATTGGACAACAAGACAAAGTATAGGGTAGGGTTGTTTACTGACACTGCTCTTTGGAAGAAACAATTTCCCTGCAGCTGACAAAGTCAACTGTGTTTTCTCAGTGTCTGCCTGTTCTGTCCTACTCCATCATTAGCGACTATCAACTACCATCTCTAAGTCTCTACAGGACCCAGGCATTAGCCACATTGGACTAGTTCATGGACTCCTTGCACCAAAAAAGATCATTCACCTAGGATCTCTGCTTAGTTTTTTTCTCTTTTCTAACAAGGTTTCATGGTTTCAGCCATCATCATCTCTTGGTTGACCAATATAAAAATCTGAACTTCTTTCCATCTTGGATCTGTATTTTGTGAGACCCGTGATTAACTATACAGTGGATGTATCTACCTGGTTGAATTACTGGTTCCTAAAACCTACTGTCTTTCCTCCTGATTCTGTTCCTTCTCCTGGCTTTCCTAACTTTCCTATCATCCAGACTGAAAACATGGGGTGCTCTTGTTTGATACTGGTAATATATGCCATTACCTGGCTTTTACCAGGGATGCAGTTCTACTTCAGACTTTCACTGCCGAATGCCTCAACCTCCCCAGGTGCCATAAAGCTCTTCCTACACAGAAACATGGGAGGGCTAGATCCATTACTTAAAGCTAGAAGGTGTATCCTAAAAGACGTTGTAACTCGGGACTTGTCATGATGAGCACAGGGGGAGGTAGAGAAGTGTTGAATCACTATACTGTGGCTCCTGAAACGAGTATTACACTGTATATTAGCTAACTGGAATTTAAATAAAAACTTAAAAAAAAGACATCTGAACTCGTCCAAAAGCGAATGGATGTCTCCTACCCTTGGTCTCCTGCCCACCTCGGCTTCCACTCCCTCCATCTCAGCCAGCAGCACCTCCATCCTCTCAAGTGCTCAGGTCAAAAGCCCTGGGCTCACCTTAAGTCCTCCTCTCTCTTCTCCTATCTCATTCTGGAAATCCTGTTGGCTCCGCTTTCAAAAGATATCCAGTATCACTTCTCACCTCCTCCATTATTATCGGAACAAATCACCTCTCTCTCACGTAAGCACTCTGAAAACTCTAGGGCAGCTCTCCTTGCCCCTCACTACAGTCTGTTCTCAACACATGCAGAAACCTTCTTAACATGATCAACTGCGGAAAAAAACATATATACATCCTGCAGCGTTTCCAATTCACCAAGAATAGAAAACAAAGGCCTTTCAATGATCAACAGGGCCCCTATGTGATCTGGGGCTCCCACCCACCCCACTTAAGTTCCTGACCTCCTCACCTAGTTAGTATTCTCTCTCAGGCCCCTCTGCAGCCCGCCCACTTCCTTGCACTTCCTCGAATGTGTACTGCACCTCCTCTCCCAGCACTCTGTCCCCTCACACAGCCCACAGCTAACGCCTCACCACCTTCAAGTCTCAGACCAGACCTCACCTTTTCACGGACGCCTACCTTGACCGTGCTGCTAGCACTGTGACCTGCACCCCTCATTAACCGTGCTACTAGCACTGTGATCTGCACCCCTCATTGACCGTGCTACTAGCACTGTGACCTGCACCCCTCATTAACCGTGCTACTAGCACTGTGATCTGCACCCCTCATTGACCGTGCTACTAGCACTCTGACCTGCACCCCTCACTGACCATACTACTAGCACTATGAGCACCCCTCACTGACCATACTACTAGCACTATGACCTACATCCTTCACTGACCGTGCTACTAGCACTGTGATCTGCACCCCTCATTGACCGTGCTACTAGCACTCTGACCTGCACCCCTCACTGACCATACTACTAGCACTATGACCTACATCCTTCACTGACCGTGCTACTAGCACTGTGATCTGCACCCCTCATTGACCGTGCTACTAGCACTCTGACCTGCACCCCTCACTGACCTACTAGCACTGTGACCTACATCCCTCACTGACCGTGCTACTAGCACTGTGACCTACATCCTTCACTGACCGTGCTACTAGCACTGTGATCTGCACCCCTCATTGACCGTGCTACTAGCACTCTGACCTGCACCCCTCACTGACCGTGCTACTAGCACTGTGACCTACATCCCTCACTGACCGTGCTACTAGCACTGTGATCTGCACCCCTCATTGACCGTGCTACTAGCACTGTGATCTGCACCCCTCATTGACCATGCTACTAGCACTGTGACCTGCATCCCTCATTGACCGTGCTACTAGCACTGTGATCTGCACCCCTCATTGACCGTGCTACTAGCACTCTGACCTGCACCCCTCATCCAGGATGCCCCCACCCCTCTTACCTGCTCCACTTTTTATTTCATACCATGTTATCTTCAAACATATGAAATGACTAACTTAGTATCTTTTTTGCTTCCTATCTCCTCAACAAGAACGTAAGCTCCACTGATATATTCTTAGCCCAAGAACTGTGCCCATCTGTGCCTAAACAGTGTCTAATTTTTAAAAAAGATTTATTTATTTGACAGAGAGAGACAAAGTACAAGCAGGGGGAGAGGCAGAGGGAGAGGGAGAAGCAGGCTTCCCGCTGAGCGGGGAGCCCGATGCAGGGCTCAATCCCAGGACCCTGGGATCATGACCTGGGCCGAAGGCAGACGCTTCACTGACCGAGCCACCCAGGCGCCCCAACGGTGTCTATTTTTCCTGATAGCAGACACTTAATGAATGAATATTGTCCAAATGGGTGAATTCTGATAGTACTAATCCAACAAGAAGGTAATTTGGATGACATAAGAAAGAGGAGTAAACTTCTGGAGCAACTTATGCAGTCAAGAAAGGATGGGATCTGCTGGACAAGTAGAGGGCTGGCTCTAGTCAGGAGTACAGGCAGTTTAGTGACAGAACAAGACATGGAGACAAAAGGGCCCAAATGCAGTCAAGGGTATACAGGGCAAGCAGGAGCTGATAGAAATGATTTTCTTGTTGCTCCTATTGTTTTCAGTGAATTAGTGTGTAAAGCCATCTTTAAGAATCAGGTCGGAAGAAGATGCGCCAGTGCTTTGCGAAGAGAGAAAGTCTCCAATAGCCTTCTAGGAGAATGAAAGAGCAAACAGACTAGGGAAATATAACGTGACAGCTGGGCAGCATCAGGAACCCACTGGAATGGAATGATCAAGAATTCAAGCTAGTGCCAAGGATCACGGTTGTGTATTTTCCCCAGATACATTCAGCTACATGGGTGCAGGTGGGGCACAGAGGACTGGATTTCAGCAAAGCTGTAATTTAACCAAGTAAGTCTGGCAAAGCAAGAAAGAGAAGAGAGGATGCAAGACATCTTGGTTGAGAGAATCAACTGATGAATTTAAACTGGGTAAGGAGGAAAGTGAGAACCTGGTGGTGTGTAAGATAATGAAAATGTGGTAGATTCGACAGGTCATAAAATCTATTGTTTCACAGTGAGATATTGTACAGCAATGTTACACACCTTTTGAGACCTGAATGTTAAAAAAATACCAAATACAGAATGCCAATTTATATTCTTGTTTGAAATCTGAAAGTTTTAAAATATCGACACTGTAAGTAGGCATAGCTTACATCTATCCCTATAAAGCACAGACCCAATCCAATTCTCTTTGAAGACCACTGTTCTTCCAATATAGTTCCTTCTTCACAAAACTCCTATTAAGTTTCTGGCCAGGGTTTAATCCAGGCTAACGTGATGTCCTAGTAGAAATTAGGAATTACGGACCCCACACTCCCCCACAGCACATGTGACGTGACAGCACGTGAGGGGACACCATCAATACTTCATGAGAAGTGACTGAGTGGCATTTAATGGAAAGAACGGAGGACAGACACTTCAAAGATGAGCAGGTTTCAATCAGATCCTTCTGAAGCCTAGTTGAACAAAAATGTTACTATGAACAAGCAGTAAATAGAAATAAGCCTATATTTTATATTTTTTATATACTCTATAAATGAATCCTATTTCTAAATAATACTAAATTGAGACGGTAAAAGAGACAAGCAGCTACCAAAACTGACTCAACATATTCAAGTGGTATTTGGGTCAGTACCAAGAGAAAAGGACACTCCACCACCAAGTCCCAG